AAGATAAACAGGGACAAAACAAAGACCTTGTGTAACTTCCATGTCGCAGCTATGCCGGTAGTTGTTGGGATCACACTACACAAATAGTCCGACTAGGTAAGCAACTTAGATTTACGATTTCAACTCGGCTGAACAGCGTTCGGGAAAGTACTACATCTTCTCTTCATCATCTCATTAGGCTAGGTTATCCCATTCTCGACATCTTCTCATTAGGTATACCTCAAACCTTGAAAACGAGATTGTACAACCAATGCATGTTGCCATTGATGCCTTATGGATCTGAGATGTGGTCCTTCACTGCTCGCCGTATGTGGACGCTCAAAATCATTCGTTAGAGAGGGCAGTAGCGTGGCTAGGTAACCAAGGGCCCTGGGGCAAATAAAAAAATCGGGCCCCTCTGCTATCTAAGCTGGTTAGGTTTCATCAAGTAAAAATATTAAATATACAAATACGTTAAAAATGCTAAGCTACTTTATCATTGGCTCTTTTTCGTGCACTGCAGGGCAGGTAATAAAAATATTAAACAGTGACAACATAAATTACAATTTATTCTTGGTGTAGGTATTGGGCAATAAAACGAAATAGAAAAGATTCAAGGATTTATTATATAAAGGTCGAACCTACCAACTGACTAAATAACAATTATATTTACAATCTTTTCCTTGCTTTAGTTTTCGCAAAAGTATCAATGACTTCGGTTAAAACTAGGCTTGATGCGGGTTTGTTTTAAATTGCTATTAGCGATAAATGTCGGGAGTCGAGTTTGGCCTATACTATTTCTTAAATAATTTTTTATTATTTTTTATTTGCTAAATGACCTTTCAGCTGCTGCAGAAGTAACAGGAATTGTAAAGAATAATAACATTGCTGTAAATACTTTCGTTAGGTCGCATTCTAGCACTCCATATGTGCAACATTTTCCTTACTTAATTGGTGAACAGTCCATGCTTGAGTTAATTCAGTTAAAACTAGGTGATAAATATTATTAATTTGAAGTGAAAAGCTAGGGCCTATTATATCTGAATGTTTTCTTTGGAATTCGTCATACTTTTGTAGTAAAGTTGATTCATCAACATGTAATAAAAATGTTGGTGTTAGGAAATCGAATATTTGACAGACTGCACTCATACCAGTAAAACGTGTATTTAATTGAGCTATTAGTGTGTCTAGTACATTATTGAAAATCTCAATTTTAAATTTTTCTTTGTTTGGAAATCGGTGATCAGCAGCTAATTCATCGAAATGTTTTTTAACTTTCCTTTGTCTTTTTTCTTGAAAATGAGTATCTATGCCATATTTTCTTGCAGTTCCACTGGCTTTGGACTTGAATAATTCGAAATCATGTCTATAAATTTGCAACTTTGCCTTGGTCTCTGCTAAAGCTTTACTTGCCTCGCCCAAATTGTAAAGTTGCTTCTTTGCGAATTTCATTTTCAAGTTCCTTGTCGATAGTATTAGAATAATATTTTCTCCAAAATTCATACACCGCACATGCTTCCGTATGGTCACTCGAAGAACTGTGTTGTTTAATTCTTTCGGATAAATGCTTCTAATCCCGAATTCCCGTACACCAAACATTATTCCTTTACGGCGGCGGCGTCTAGTAGTTTGGAATAGCACAAACAAAAACTATTAACTGGTCCATATTTAGAACTTGAAACGTAGTACGATTTTTAAAAACACCTATTGTTCTGGTTGATGTCTGTTGGAAAAGGTCCTGAAGGCTGTAAAGGCCCCATATCAAGAATTTGACGTTTTTCGTTATCACTTAATATTTTGTTCGTGAAGTTTCCCAAGTCATAAGCAGATTTATCGTACAAATTTTCGAAAAATGTAGAGGACTATGGTTCCTCCAAATCCTCCATATATTTTCTTCCTTTATATGTGCCATGCAAACGTCATCCACGTCCACATGATCGGCGGCGGAGGTATCTCCAACTGCAATAATGGAGACGATAACCATTTTTTGTTTTATATGCCAAAAAAATTTACAAAAAATTATGAGAATAACTGTTTTTTTTTTAATTTTTCTATCTTCAAAACTGACCGAGATATAAAGGCGCAAAGTTAACATTTTCGATCTAAGCCGCGGGCCGAGCGCGACATCGTTGATGACGTCACAAGTTCCATCTTCGTGCGAGCGACCCGACGCGCTCTTAGAAAATCAAAACATTTACTCGAATGTGTCCGTCGCATGCGGATCTATCTATCTATTTTAAACAAGAAACATTATAGTAGAACATGACACCATCTATTAAATATTGTGCTGTGCCTCAATGTAAAAATACGGCCACAAAAACACCTAAAAAGTTGTTTTTAATGTGCCTAGAAACCCTACCATCAGAAAAAAATGGAAAAATGTTATGAGAAGAGCACATCCTTTAGGACCGAACACGATAGCATTTTGTTGTGAGGATCATTTCGATGTAAGTATTCAAATAATAATAACCTTCACATGATAGGTCTTGGTTATTGCTAGTAAATGCTTTCTATTAGGCATGTAGGTACCTACTCGAGTCGCAGTGTTTAAGTAACTAACGATTCATTGAACCTTTCCACGCTTAATGATCATTATAATTTCAAGAAGAAACAATACCTAATACCTACATATTTAACTAAAACTACTTCAGTGTAAATAAACATCCAAACTTGGGTAAAGTACCTATGTAATGTAGATAAGTCAATGACCTGTCGTGAGTTCGTAAGTTTAGATACCTACCTATGTTTGCAGTAAATTTTAAAATGTTTATAATGTATATAAAGGTTAAAATATGGAATATGTTAGCAAATGTTTTTATATTTTTACGATATTTCGAGCAAAAATCAAACACACACTCAGAGCAAAACTTGCGACATTACAGTGGTCATTCCTAGGACTGAGTCAAATTCAATTACAAAATTTTTATTGAAAATTGCCAACAAGCCTCGAAAAGTAGATAAATAATTAAAGCTAACTTGCCGCTCCATTGTATTGTCCATGATATCCGATATAATAACTTGTAATTCACAATTTTAAAAGCAAAATTATCACACGTTTATTCAACGAAATCAACGGAACTTCAATGACAATGACAAGATTTCTTTCTTTTTATTTTTTCTCTAGACGTTACTAGTAGTAACGTATATCATACAGCCAAGTTCATAATGAACATAGTCACGGTCTTATTCCACAGAGAAAGATAAAGAAATAAACGAATTTAGCCGCGAAATGCGACCGTTGTTTTAATGGCGTGTTTAAATAAATTTAATTTTAATATTTTACTGGCTGAAATCAGCCACCTCACAGACGAGACTGAGATGCTGAACCTATTCTTATCATTAGCAAATGAAACCCAGAAGTATTAATGTAATAATGGGTACCTAGGTTATAAAAATATTATCTTATTCTTATACCTACCTTTTCATTTTGACTCCGCGTATTTCAGCCGCGACAAAATCTTTGTTTCTTAGAAAAAATTCCGCCACCATCATGTCACGGACTATTGGAAGGTTGTCAGATTGACCCTTGTGAAACCCTTCTTCCATCATTAAATACTTATAAACACCAGAGCGCACGAGGGCAAACAACTCACCCGCGAAATATTACTACAAACGTATGATCGGCGCGCTGGAACGGTATGGCGGCGCGGCCGCATGGAACGAATGACGTCACGCGCTTCTCGCGGGCACGGACGAGATTTTAGAAATGTACGTAAACTTTCCACGCTTATAACTTCGGTAATAGTGCACCGATCGATGTCAAATAAAAACTAGAAATATGTGTTTGGTCTAGACTTTTTACCTACGTACTTAAAAGTCTAATATTGTAACCTTGTTATCTTCTCCATTGTCGAATATTTTTCAGTAGGATTCTCAACCAACACTGCAGTTACCACATTATTTGATTCACTATTTTCTTTAAGGATATTGCTTCAAAATATTACTAGGTTTATCTTTAAACTATATAATTTTTTTCCCTCTTAAAAATTTACTTTTAAGAGTTAAAAAATAATTATATATTATTCTATTATATGCCTAGCTAATTATGAATTATGTCTAGCAAATTGTGAATTGCCGGCATGTCAACTTGCCTGTAAGGATCAGCTTAATTTTGATGAAGAACTACCAATATTAATAGAATAAGGTAGAGTATTAAAAGGTGCTGTATATCCTTTACTAAAATTGTCACTTTACCTCTCAAGCAAGCCAAGTCTTCCTGCTGCTAATAAAAAGTCACCATCCTCAACACTTGTCGCATCACCTGAAAGTTTCTGAATTCCTCTACTCTATCATCCACTTTTACAATTTAAATTTCCCTCACCCACTTGACTCCGGCTCGTGTGTGTGGTATTTTAAACTCTCAAAAAGAGATGAAACATAAAAAATTCATATAATAATAATAATGTCCTCCAGACCGAATTTCAGTCACGGCGGCTAGCCTCAACGGGGACTAGCCATCGGCACAGGACAGGATTATGGTGCCGAAGTGTATGCGCAAGCACAGGTGCTCTATTCCCTCACTCTCATAATCCGATGGGGCGGTAAACCGACACGACCGGAAAGAGATCAGGCGCAGGATCAACGGCTTTACGTCCTTTCCGAGTGAGACACCGCCAACTTCCTGAATCAGGGAAGCTACTGAGAATTTCTTGACGGAAAAACTTATTAATTGATTTTTTGTCCCGACCTGGGATTCGAACCCAGGTCCTCATGATCAGCAGTCATACTACTACAACCACTAGACCAACTTAACAGTAACTTCCTACTGATAACAAAGAAGTAAACGACCATAAATTTAATTATCATTGAAAAAATGTGCAGCACTTCTCCATCCAACAGTTAGATAAGTAACCCTGCCTTTCCTTAAATTGCACATTAAAACCTGGTCTGGCATATTCATGGGTTGGCTTGTGCTACCTATAAGAACAATCTTCAGTGATAACCATTATAAACTATTTTGTCATTTTATAATGATTCTAAATCTAGAATATATATTGCAGATTTTGCTTAATATTTTTTAGGTTCAATTCCTCATTCCAATCATGCAGCGGCCGCTGTAATGATTGTAAATCCTACAACACCAAATGCTGTAACAGGGAATATCTCACAACCTTTTAATGTAAGTGTTTAAAATATTTAATTTAAATAATCACTAAAAATTATTAAAAAATCGATCGATTGGTTAGCAAACAATCCATCAACAGGTATACATTAATAAATTTATTGATAATTTTTTTAAATATTGAGGTGATAAACGAATTTACCGAAACAAATTTGTAAGTGGACACGGGAGCCAATCGACACCTGCAACCGACTTCGAACAAAGAAGTCTACAGATGTGTTGTTATCTTTGAGAATTACTTAAGATAAATACCTCATAGTCTGTTATAACCATTTAACCTGAGTACAGATTGCAGTGGCAGAAATAGTTAAGCGAGTGGCATTCACCTAAGCAGAATATTATAGCATATGGCATATTTTCATATGGCACCAGATTATTTCACTAATCGATGCAGAGTAATTTCAGAATAGAAATGCCAGTCATATAAAGTTCCTTTATTCTGGTTAGAAAAACAGATTTATTTTTTCTTTTTCTTTAAAAATGTACCTCCACATTAGGATTTTCTCCTGTATCCTGGGGGCAGTTTAAAAACATAAATTTCACAATTACAAACATCCAGACACGGAACAATTACTTGTAGGCCATACAAATAATTGCTCTGTGTGGGATTTGCACCCGCGACCCTTAGCGCGGTAACTCATTGCTAAGCCACTGCGCCACGATTCACACGATTTCATGACGATTCGACACGAGTCAATCGATTTAAAAGCCAATCGGTTCTAAAAATTTTTGTGGATTGAATCAATTTTGCTAAAGCACATCAGATTTCTGGTAATATGTTTACAATAAATAAAATTTATATTCATGCCTTCTCTACACCTTCATATTTTTATATAAATATAAATCTTAATTACAATCAACCTTTTTTATTATTTGTTTCAGGCACCAAATCAAAACCGCAATAACTTTACTAGGAATTTGAATTCCAATCGCAACACTTTTGATGGTAATACTCACGCTAGTAACAATAATATTACTCCACCAATATCAAATTCTAGAACGGGCACTAAAACTGTTAATTTAATTAACAACATGTATGACCAAGGACAGGGAAGCTTCAATAATTTAAATGAAAATAATCAGGTTAGTTAAGCACACATTTGAATTTTTATAAACACTACCTGTACTCGGCCACGTACTGTTGTGGATCAAATTTTTTTTTATAGCAAATGGGTGATCACTGATCACACAGTCCACCTGATAGTAAGTGCATGCTATCCCATAGACATTTATACATATATCCTTGACTAAGTATCAAAATGCAAATCAGCTGTCATCCCTAAGAACAAAGATGGAATGCCTTGTTTCTACACTCGGTGTCAGCATATGATACACGGCACCATTAAGCTGGTATTCTGTGAGAGTGTGGTCCTTCCCTGTTTGAGTCGACCTATTCGTGCTATAACCATATATAACAGCAGCATGCCGCTAAAACTTTCAAAAATAAAATAAAAACACGTATGTATTTGAATGCAACATTGTGTTAAAGTAATTGGTGAAAAATTTTTGGATATTTAAAATTTAAGACAAACAAATATTTATATATGTTTATTTATACAGATTATACATTATTTAATATATAGATGTTTATTTAATATGCGTTACAGCGTATAAGAATAGAGAAGTTACAAGATGAAGATGTGATAGAGAAGTATAAATGTAGACTGAGAGAAAATATTAGATGTTTGAATGAGTTGTGTATGAATGATTTAGACTTGAATACTGTGTGGGATAATATTAAGAAAGGTTTGGTGGATACCGCCACCGAAGTATGCGGTGTAAGTAAGAGAACAAATGAAAGGAAAAGTAATACGTTATGGTGGGATGATGAGGTACGGGTGGAAGTTGAATCAAAGAAGAAAGCATGGTTAGATTTACTAGCAACCAAAGCTGATAATTCTTCTGGTATGAATGATGAGATTGAAAGAAAAAAGGCAGAATTTAGACGTCTAAATAAGAGAGTAAAAGAAGTTGTTGAAAGGAAAAAGAAAGAAAGAACGGATAAGAATGATAGAAGGATATCTGATAATTTCCAGCATAAAATAAAAATGTTCTGGAAACTCGTAAGAACTGCCAGGGGAAATACAAAACAGCCTATAATAAATGCTATAAGAGACGAGAATGGATGTATTCTGAATGATGAAGTTTCGAATTTAAACAGATGGAAGGAATACTTTGAAAGCGTGTTTATGAGTAAAGAGTCGTATGAATTAAATGAAATAGAAATTCCGAAAGAAGTGGAAAGGGGTATGGAGATAAGTGTAGATGAAATAATGAAAGCAATGAAAAGCATGAAAGCAGGTAAGGCAGCTGGATATGATAGAGTATCACTCGAGATGCTAAGGGCTGGAGAGGGAGTGGTGGCAGGCCTGCTGTACACCTTGTTTAATTTATGTTGGGAATTAAAACGGGTACCGGATGACTGGTGTAAAGCAGTTATAGTACCAATATATAAAGGAAAAGGGTCACAGCAGGACTGCAAAAACTACCGCGGTATCAGCTTGCTTAGTATTGTGGGTAAACTGTATGCTAAGGTGTTAATTGAAAGAGTTATGAAAGAAACTGATGGAAAAATTTGGGATGTGCAAGCGGGTTTTAGAAAGGGAATGGGGTGTACAGATCAAGTCTTTTCCATGCGCATGATTGCGGAGAAGTTCTGGCCAAAAACCAGAAAGTTTTTTGTGCGTTCATGGACTTGGAAAAGGCTTATGACAGAGTGGACAGGAATGTGTTATGGTAAACACTGAACTCATATGGGTTGAGCGCTGGTTTGATACAGGCATTAAGGTCTCTTTATAGGGACTCTAGTGCTTGTGTCAGGATCAATGGGGTCTACTCGGACTGGTTTGGCATCCAAAAAGGTGTCAGACAGGGCTGTGTGGCTTCCCCTTGGCTGTTCAACCTATTTATGGACCGGTGTTTGCAAACTTTGAAAGATGAAGAATGTGGGTTAAGAATGGGCGAGTTAACCGTCAAATGCCTTTCGTATGCCGATGATCAAGTCATACTTGCGTCATCGGCGGCAGAGTTGCAAATGATGGTTACATTAATGAACTGGGAATTAAAAGAAAGGGGAATGAAAGTGAACGCAAGTAAGACGAAAGTGATGGTTTTTGAAAGAGAAGAAAGCAAAACGGTATGTGAAATAAGAATAGAAGGAGAGTTGATTGAGCAAGTGGATGAGTTTGTGTATTTGGGATGTGTATTTAGCAGGGATGGTAGATATGATAGGGATATAGAACGACGAGTAAATGCAGGGAATAGAGTGAATGGGGCACTACACTCTATTATGAAGAACCAGAATTTGTCAAAACAGGCACGTATGGTAATTCATAATGCTGTGTTAGTCCCTACTTTAATGTATGGTAGTGAAAGCTGGGTGTGGCAGAAGAAGCACGAAAGTAGAATAAATGCTGTAGAAATGCGGTCTTTAAGGAATATGCTAGGGTGTAATCTGAATGACAGGGTGAGAAATTGCGTGATAAGAGATAAATGTGGTATGCAAGATGATGTTGTGACCAGGATTAAGAAAGGAATGCTTCGGTGGTTTGGTCACGTAGAAAGAATGAATGAGGAAAGAGTGACAAAGCAAATTTATATGGCAGATGTGAATGGCCGAGTCGGGAAGGGACGCCCTAGGAAAAAGTTTATCGACCAAATTGGCGATATTTTGAAAATGGGCCACGTTAGAAGTACCCTTAACCGACGAGCATGTATGCGTAGATATATGGATGTAAAGGAGGCGAAAGAGGTATGTCAGGATCGTACCAAATGGAAGTCCATAGTCTCTGCCTACCCCTCTGGGTGACAGGCGTGAGTGTTTATGTATGTATTAATATATAGATTATATTTTATTAATTAATTTATGTTTCCCATCTGCCTATTAAGTGTGATGTATAAATTAGATTATTAGATTAGATAAGAATAAATTGAGCCCAGCTTAGACCATTTTAGTCAGTTTATCTCTATTAGAATTACGATAATGAATAACAAATGAAAAACCATTTCATGTCAATATAATATGTACATGGCAGCAGCTTCCTCTTATAATCAGGAGTTATTAGATGCATAGGATTGTATTTAGGTGTCTAAATTGTCAATACAAATGTGAAAATATAAAATAAAAAACTGTTACATACACAAAAACATAATTCTCTTACTTATTTTCAGTGGCTAGTAAGTAGGTACACCAATAAAAAATTACTTGAAAGTGTTTTAGTTAAAACAAGCATTTAAAAATTCTATATAAAATTGCACTCATAGCAAGAATTAAAGTTGTTAAGAATTCATTCGCATACATCTGCTAAATAAAATAAAATGATGTCTTACCTAGTTTGAAGAGCACCTCCCGCCCTCCCTCAATCCCGTCACTACCGATCACAGCACCACTACTCCCAACACCACCACACTAGGAAAGACACACCATCGACGATAATAAGACACGTATTTCGTCCCTATATGAGGCATCCTGAGGTGATGTAGACTCTGTAATCTATTAATGTGGCGTTGTTATTAAGATAATCAAAGACCAATTATGTTATATCAATTTTGATGATGTAATGTCATGTTATTATATTTAATTATAATTGTTTCATGTTAAGGTACATAGAGAGTCAGCTCGTGCTTTAGGAGAAGCAATCGTAGCTGCTTGTCCTGACGCTGCAGCTGTAGAGCGTCGGCTGGGACAAATAAGAGAATACATTAGAGTTACATCTTCGCTTGTTGACACAATGCGTAATTCGGAAGATGAGGTAAGTTTTTGAACATCAAATTTTTATAATATATTAAATTTTATAAGCTTAAAGGTATTTTGTTGAAATTCCTAATTCAGACATTTATAGAACATACTAAAGAAGAATATGATGAACTTATTGAAATGGTGACGAAATTAAAAGAAAGTGAAAGTAAGTTGGAAAGTATGTTAGTAAAAAAGATTCCGGATAATGTTGAAGTTCCTCCTGAAGAAGCAATTGAATCTACTGCTCATTTAGAAACAAACTCCCTTGTTTCTGAAACACCTGACGGTATTTCATTAAATAAACTAAACCATGATGAAGGTATATCTAAAAGTAATAATGAAAATAATACAATAAGCCATAATCTCAAAAAAATAACTAATATAGAAAATGAACAATTGAATAAAACTATGTCCAATACCAAAGTTAATGATGACAATGTTCAAAAAGATATGCCAAAGATAATAGCAACACTCGGCAATGAGGAAAATGAGATTAGGCATGGCGGTAAAAAAGAAGAAATGGAGTCTATTACTTGTGATGAAACTGAAACTAAGCATGATGATCAGCATCTCAAAGATGAGTTAAGAAAAAATATAATATCTTGTGTTGAAAAAGTAGCAATAATGGAAGAAATGAAAAATAAAATTAATAATTGTGGCAACAATCATGATCAGGTTTTGTGGATCCTTGCTAGATGTTTGATTTTATTTGTTGTTCATTAAAAAAAAGCATGCAGTGAATGGCAAATTATTTTTACAGATAATTCATTATATTTCATAATTACTTTGATAACCGTGTGGCGTCGTTGTTTAACTACATCTTAACTAAACTTAATAATTTGTGAACCAAAATGTTGTGTTTTTTTTTCATCCCATTCTAAAACATTCTCATCAAGGCTCAAAAAATATTGCCTAAGACTATTTCCACTCTGAAGCACAATCTGTAGCTACAACTTCTTATATGATATTTTTGTACCTAGTGGCATCTGAATTAATTGAGCATTTTGAATAAGAGGAAATTTTAAGTTAATAATAATGATTTAATCAGATTTATTTAATAGTGAACATCGTCTCTGAGCCTTGTTTTTTGTTGTTTAATAAAACTTTGATTAATAAACGGTAAATTAAAAACAATTTACCTTCTGCTCTATTCTAACACTTAAAGTTCGTGTTACAGGGTTATTTTTCAAACAGCAGCCAAATTTTAACCTTAAGTTCAAGTAGATAAATAATGACAAACTGTTATTGCAGTTTTTGAAAATTTGAGTAAAAAAGGCTTCTACTTTTATTTGAAATTATCCCATATTGAATGTGATTTATGAGCAACATGACCCTTACTAATGTGTGCGTGCGCAGTAAAATCAGTTAAAATAATGCATTACCACACATTTTGAATTTAAAAAATAAAAACGACAGAATGTTAGAGATTTTTTTAATTAATTTCTTTTCACTATTTTCCTATATTACTTAGAATTTTTTCTGCAAATTTGGACGTTTATTGCAAAATAACCCTGTATAATCCGTTTTGGTGTGTTTTTAATTTTAATATCAATTAAATTCAATTACTTTTTATGACCATTAGGATGTTGTAATTAGACCGGTCTCAGTTCAGAGCAATGGATCAGCATATAGTGACAATGAGTTGTGGCAAAATGAAATTAAAAACAAAATGGAGATGTCACAGATTCGACTGTCGGCTTTGAAACAACAGCAAAAAAGGCTATTAAAATACCAGGTACATCATTGCCATTTTTTTCAGTAACATTTGATTGTTATTTGGAATAAGTCTTGGGGTTATTGTACTTATTGGGATAGTTGTTTTATTGTCTAAATAATGCATACTACAGGGCTAAAGACATTTCTAGTGGCTTTAATATAGGAATTAATCCGTCTGATATTTGTTGTTTGTCATCAGCACTTTTTAATAATAAACATAACATGCGAGCACACTCCATCTGATAAGTGGATGTTGTGGCACATAGACATCTACATCCTTCATTGACAACCTTGATTAAGAATCAAAATTTAGATGTGTTCTAAGGCTAATACCCCTGGGGACTAAGATGTAATGCCTCGTTACCAGTAAAAAGGGCCTTTGGTTCTCTACACTTAAAGTTAGTTAAAGTTACGGCCTATATACGTCCCATTGCTGGGCACAGGCCTCCTGTCATTTCTGTGAGGGTTTTAGGGCAAGCAAATGTAGGCCACGCTGCCCCAATGCGAGTTGCGTACTTCACATGTCTTCAAAATATCTTTCTTTTATTTCTCATACATGCAGGTTTCCTCATGATGTTTTCCTACACCGCCGCGCACAAACTTAAAAATCCAATTAGCAATTTTATTAGTGCCCGCGGAGATCGAATCTGGGTCGCTCGAATCAGATCAAATTTTAAAGCGAGTGATTATAGCCTTTTTTATAGCATTGGATGACAAACAAGCACACAGTCCACCTGATCGTAAGTGGATGCTGTGGCCCATAGACACCCATATTTATCCTCAATTAAGAATCAAAATGCAAATGCGTTGTCACCCCTGAGGACTAAGATGGAATGCCTTGATTCCAGTAAAAAGGGTCTCCGGTTCTCTACACTCACCATACGAAAAACAGCCGCGTTACGCTGGTATCCTGTGAGAGCGTGGTCCTGCCCGTGACGAAAAAAAAAGCAATGCCTCAGAGTATCTCGCTGGTTCTTCTTTGTAGAGATCCCAATTTTTGAAACAGTTTTTGAGTTTCACAAGACCATTAAATAACCCAAAATTATTTTTATGATTTTAGGCTGAGGCGAAACAACAGCTGGAAGAAATGAAAGAAAGGCAAGCCCAAGAAATACATTCATCAACTTCCAATGAGAACTTTGCTGGCATGCAGGTACAGTCTCGAAGTTTTATTTCGAGAGAGTAATTACATTATTTTTTAACAATGCTAATAAAGTTTATTCGTATGTTATAAAGACGTATGGCCACTTTTCATACATTGATTGACCTGTCACATGATTAGTTTTACAGGTCGCGTCTACCTACAACTACTGTTGCATAAAATCTGTTATTGTTTATAATAACATAATAACTTATCACCTTTTCATTTAAGGCCAGGGAAAATGCTGTAAAATAAATAAGTTTTTCGGCTTATAACCTGTCAACTGTACACTATGGTATACTATGTTGTGGAAAGAAAAATAACTTTCCACGCGTTAGGATAAAACCACAAAAAGTCATATCTAATCATGAAATAATAAGGTAACTAACAAAAACAATTGGTTCTTTTGAGCATTCAAAAACCACATGACGAATTAATAAGATTTTCGTAGTCTGTGAAATGAAACATGTAAAACAGTTTTTTTTAAATATATTTTGCCATGGCTTCTGGGCCTTTTAAGCCATTGTATATTGCGTTCCGTCTCCAAAAGTCTATTGAGAATGATAGAAATAGTAATATTACTTTTTTCCTGGCTTTATTGAAAAATTCAATTATGTGATACGAAATAAGCAAAATAAAGGCAATTTTTTAAGATATTTTACATCATTAGACGCTTTAGAAATTTTTCAGGTCAAGATTGGACATGATTCTTAAACAACTGTTGACTTCTGCAATAATAACATGATAAGTAGAAACTGCTACTTTTGTGTGCATTAGTGAATGCAGGGGAGTAAATTATTTTGTGGTTATAAAACTCAACTTATGTACAGAGCTTAGCGATTCACTGTGTACTAGACTAACATACAATTGCTCTTTGAATACATACTTCGTTGAAATGACTGTAACAGAAATGAAATATTATTAGTTTTAAAGATTAAACTAGCTAAAACCAAGAATTTTTAACTCTTATTTTTTTAGAACATGACACATACCGGCAATTACAATCAACATAACAGAATATATGGGACCAATCAGATAGGTGTTGCCACTACTCTACCTCAGTTATCTGATAGTATACATGGGGGTCACCAAATGGCTAACAATATTGAAAATGAACATGGTCATTCCACTCAGTCTACGCACAGCCAAGATGAGAGGTTTTCAAATAGAGAGGACAACAACAGTGAGGTAGGTTGATATATAACATAACAGGTTTTGTTCTTCCTTCCACTTTTTTTGTAACTCCCGTTTACATTTATAGTCAACCAAATATAAGAAATACCTTTTGACGTTTCACATTAATCATTCCGCAATAACTTTGCACCAGCATACTCACACGATTTAAAATAACCTTTTACGTAAATCCGAGGAATTATGAAGTTATCTATATTTCATTACAACGTGTATAGTTTTTTTATCACTAATTTAAACTTAAATTTTTCAAACAAAGCAAAATATTAAAAAATAACCAGTATTAACTTTTTTTACTTGACGTTGTTTCAATGATATGTCGCTATGTATATTACCGTAGTGTTTGGATGATTAAAATTCATTGTTATGGGAATGATCGGCAAAATATTCAAATAATCGGTAAAAATTTTCAAATAATCGAATGATGAATTTTTTTAATGTATTATTTTTGTTTAATTTTTATTTTAAAAATTCCTTAAATTACATGAATCGTGAATAAAACAAGTTTATTTTTTTACTTTGTCAAAGTAAATTTGTGTAGGTAAAAAAAACTCATATACGAGGCCAATATATAATAATTACAATATTCTTTCGGTACCAGTTACTCAACTCCACAGAGTCAATAATTCAATCTTGGGGCGCTTTTACAACAAAATCCCAGAAAATATACAATATTTGACGTAAGTACACAAAGTATAAACACTTTATTATAGTTTAATAAAGTTTTTAAACTTTATTAAACTATAAAAGTTTGTATAAAAAGGGTTATTTTAATATTAAGGAATTTATGGATGATAATAACCCCTGGGAAGAGTGATCGCTACCAAGCTATTTCTAATATGTTTTGTGTTGTTAATTGTAACACACATGATTGTTTTTTTTTTTTTAAAACTAGTCCCGTTGGGTTTCTTGCTGGTTCTTCCCAGGATAAGTTTTTTTTTGCGAACCAGTGGTAAATGAAAAAAATGCCTTTCAATAAGTATTGTTCATAATCCATATTGAATAAAAAAGTTTCTGTTTCTGTTTCGAGAGCTTACAGTTCGTAATTTTGTGTTCTTAACAAAAATCCATATTGAATAAAAAAGTTTCTGTTTCTGTTTCTGTTTCGAGAGCTTACAGTTCGTAATTTTGTGTTCTTAACAAAAATCCATATTGAATAAAAAAGTTTCTGTTTCTGTTTCGAGAGCTTACAGTTCGTAATTTTGTGTTCTTAACAAAAATCCATATTGAATAAAAAAGTTTCTGTTTCTGTTTCGAGAGCTTACAGTTCGTAATTTTGTGTTTTTAACAAAAATCCATATTGAATAAAAAAGTTTCTGTTTCTGTTTCGAGAGCTTACAGTTCGTAATTTTGTGTTCTTAACAAAAATCCATATTGAATAAAAAAGTTTCTGTTTCTGTTTCGAGAGCTTACAGTTCGTAATTTTGTGTTCTTAACAAAAATCCATATTGAATAAAAAAGTTTCTGTTTCTGTTTCCGAGAGCTTACAGTTCGTAATTTTGTGTTCTTAACAAAAATCCATATTGAATAAAAAAGTTTCTGTTTCTGTTTCGAGAGCTTACAGTTCGTAATTTTGTGTTCTTAACAAAAATCCATATTGAATAAAAAAGTTTCTGTTTCTGTTTCTGAGAGCTTACAGTTCGTAATTTTGTGTTCTTAACAAAAATCCATATTGAATAAAAAAGTTTCTGTTTCTGTTTCGAGAGCTTACACTTCGTAATTTTGTGTTCTTAACAAAAATCCATATTGAATAAAAAAGTTTCTGTTTCTGTTTCGAGAGCTTACAGTTCGTAATTTTGTGAAACTTTTTTATTCAATATGGATTTTTGTGACTCGGCTTTAACTTTTTGGACTGTTTCTTCTATAATAACTTTTTGTATGTGGTAGAGCCACGCTACATCTATATTATAGTTGTAGCACGAATGGGTCGGCTCAACCGGGGCAGGACCACGCTCCCACAGAATACCAGCGTAAGATAGCAGCGTAATGCTGATGTGTTTCGTATGGTGAGTGTAGAGAACCGGATACCCTTTTTACTGGAAACGATGCATTCCATCTTAATCTATTTAATTATGTATGTTGCAAACCCGTAACATTAACTGCTATGCAGATGACAGCACTGGTGATGCTCTGTACACCGGCCGTGCCAATATTTCTCGGGAAAACGTCTCCTGTCCTCAAACTTGTGTCTGAAGTCGAGTCTTTGCTGAACAGAGTCTCGGATTGGGCGCGACTAAATCTAGTCCAGTTTAACCCTCAGAAGACACAAGTTTAGACGTTAACCGCTAAAAAGAACCCCTTTGTCGTATTTCCTCAGTTTCGGGGCACTCCCCTTGTTGCCTCAGCCAGTATCGGAATCCTCGGCGTCGACATGTCGAGTGACGTGCAGTTTCGTGGTCACTTGGAAGAGAAGGCCAAATTGGCTTCTAAAAAGCTTGACGTGCTCAGCAGAGCGGGACAGTATTTCATGCCGGCGCACCGCATGCAACTTTACAAGGCGCAGGTTCGGCCGCACATGCAATACTGTTCCCATCTCTGGGCTGGAGCTCCCCAGTACCAGCTCCTTCCACTTGACCGCATACAGCGCAGAGCGGCTCGAATTGTCGACGACCGAGTGCTTGTCGATCGGCTCGATTCACTAGCGTTGCGAAGAGATGTTGCATCTCTTTGCGTATTTTATCGCATGTATCACGGGGAGTGCTCTGAGGAATTGTTCGGATTAATCCCAGCCGCCAAATTTCGTGAACGCATTACGCGGCAAACATCTCGATACCATCAACACCATCTGGATGCTTGGCGGTCCACCACGGTACGTTTCAGAAGGAGTTTTCTTTCGCGTACGACCTCTCTGTGGAATAGTTTTACCGGCAATTTTTTCGGACCGATACGACCTGGGGACCTTCAAGAAAAGAGCTTACTCGTTTCTAAAAGGCCGGCAACGCACCTGCAATTCACCTGGTGTTGCGGTTGTTCATGGGCGGCGGTAGTCACATAACAGGTGAGCCGCATGCTCGTTTGCCCTCTCTTCTATTAAAAAAAATCCTCTGAGGTGACAACGCATTTGCATTTTGATTCTTAATTGAGGATAAATATGTACGTTTATGGGCCATAGTATTCACTTACCATCAGGTGGACTGTGTGCTCGTTTGTCACCCAATGCTATAAAAAAATATATTCGTTGAAGCGTGTGCCCATATCACAAAGAATGATTGGGCAAAAGTGGTAGAAAAAACAAAAAAAATTGATTATGGATGACTTTGAAGGAGAAATTAATTTTGACTGCATTATTGAAAATCAAATAATACTTATTATAAACAACGACATCTCTCGATTTTTAATCTAGTTTCAATCTTAAATTTCTATGTTTCTCTAGAAATAAGCAGTAACGAGAAATACGAAGAAACTGATAAATCTTGTGTTTTAAATTATCCGTTTTTAATTTATTCTGGTATTATTCAAACCAAACTGTAAATGATTCATCATCATCATCTTCATTACAGCCCTTCACAAGTCCACTGCTGAACATAGGCCTCCCCCAAGTAATGCCACAAAGCACGGTCCTGAGCCACCTGCCTCCATCGACTTCCTGCATGTCTTACCAGGTCGTCACTCCATCTAGTGGGGGTCGCCATACACTACGCCTACCGGTACGAGGCTGCCACTCGGGAACCTTTCTTCCCCATCGGTTATCGGTTCTTCGAGCTATATGGCCGGCCCATTGCCACTTCAGCTTACTAATCCGTTGGGCTATGTCGGTCACTCTGGTTTTACTGCGGATATCCTCATTTCTGAGTCTATCACCTAGAGAAACTCAGAGCACACCCCTCTCCATAGCTCGCTGAGCGACCTTGAGCGTCCTCATATGGCCAGCAGTGAAGGACCACGTCTCAGATCCATAGGTCATCACTGGCAACACGCACTGGTTGTACAATCTAGTTTTCAGAGATTGAGGTATAACTGACGAGAAAAAGTGCCGTAATTTCCCGAACGCTGCCCAGCCGAGTTTGAATCCGTCGATTGACCTCTCGGTCGAAGTTGGACTTACCTAGTCGGACTATTTGTCCCATGTAAACGTACTCGTCAAAAACTTCGGACATGGACATTAAACATGATCTTTGTTTTGTCCATGTTCATCTTAAGACCTATCCTTTGGGAGACACCATTGAGGTCATTGAGCATAGTGCTTAGGTCCTCCAGCGATTCTGCCATAAGGACTATATCGTCGGCAAATAGAAGGTGAGTAATGTACTCGCCATTGATAATACCGTATCCTTTTCAGTCCAGTAGCTTGAAAACGTCTTCCAACGCAGCGGTGAAGAGTTTCGGGGATATAACGTCACCCTGTCTTACACCTCTCTGCAGTTGGATAGGTTTCGAACTCTGGTTCTGTACTCGGATAGCCATCGTAGCCCTACTGTACAAACACTTCCGTACTTCGATATACCGACAGTCAACTTTGCACCGCTGAAGGGACTGTAGGACCGCCCAAATTTCGACGGAATCAAATGCTTTCTCATAGTCCACATACGCCAGGCAAAGTGGCAGATTGTATTCTTCGGTCTTCTGTACAATCTGCCGCAGGATATGTATGTGGTCTATGGTACTGAAGCCTTTTCGGTAACCGGCTTGTTCGGGAGGCTGGAAGTAGTCGAATCTGCGTGCGAGACGATTCGTAATGGCTCTCGAAAACAGCACGTAGACGCGGCTCAGAAGGGAAATCGGTCTGTAATTTTTCAAGAGAGCATTGTCGCCTTTCTTAAAGAACAATACCACCGCACTTCTGCTCCACGCTTCCGGAGTAGTGCCACCATGGAAGACGGAATTGAAGAGCTTCTGAAGGACTTCAAGTACCGGTGTTCCACCAGCTTTAAAAAGCCCCGCTATAATTCCTTCCTCGCCTGGAGCCCTGCCGTTTTTAAGGTGCTGGAGAGCCATTCTAATCTCACTCAGACTGACGTCCGGGATATCATCGGAATAGTGTCGGATAAGACTTGCTCTGGGATCGTTACTCACACTTGCGTGTGGCTCCAACGATGATGTGTACAACTGCCCATAGAACCTCTCAATCTCACTCAAAATCTCAGGTATCCCGGAAACGATGCTGCCACACTCAGTCTTCAACTTTGACAGTTGGCTCTTTCTGGCAGACAGATCTCTGGAAAAGACTTTGGAGCCCTGGTTCCGCCCGATTGCTTCTTTAATACGAGCAGTATTAAATTTGCGTAAGTCTCGCCGCATGCATTTGGAGATCTGTCTGTTCAGTTGCCTGTATGCTGTCAAATCTGTTGACGATTGCAGCCTCATCTCCCGTCTAACAGCCATGAGATTAAGAGTGTGATCGGAAAGTTTTTGTGTTCTTCTGCGGCGGGTCATGCAGAACTTAGCTCCGACCGCATGGACAGTTTCCACGAGCTTGTCATTCATATCGTCCACCGCATTGCAATCTTCCAGGCGCTGAAAGCGGTTACGTAACTCGAGCTGAAAGGTTTCGGGATTCTGGATCAGAGCACGAGGGAAACGGAGCGTTGACTTCATTAGACGAGACCTCTCCAACTTAACGTTTAGGTTCAGTGTGCCTCTAAATATTCGGTGATCGCTGCAGTTTCACCCTTGCGATCACTGAGACATCACTGAACAGTTGGCGTCTGTTCGTCATAATGAAGTCAATCTCGTTTTTTGTCGAACCGTCGGGGCTCGACCAGGTCCACTTTCTGTGGGGCCGCTTCTGGAACAAAGAGTTCATCATAAAAAGTCCCTCTTTCTCCATGAAGTCGGCCAGCTGCTGGCCCCTTGGGTTCCTTTGCCCTATCCCAAATTTCCCTACCTTCAGCTCACCGTTCTTTCTTGTGCCCAGTTTTGCGTTGAAGTCTCCCATTAACACCGTATAGTGAGTTTTGGAGAAATGTATGGCTTTAGAAATGTCCTCATACATTTCCTCCACCTCCTCATCGGGATGTTCCGACGTTGGCGCGTAAACCTGTATGACCTTCAGCGAATACCGTTTGGTGATTCTGAGTATAAGGTACGCAACCCTCGTTGATACACTCCCAATCTTTAAAACGTTGTTAACGAGAGACTTGTGGACAATAAATCCAACACCTTGGGACAGATGGTCGCCCTCCCGGTGATAGAACAAGTTGCCGGATTCGAGAATCACCGTGTCCTCCCTCTCTCTTCGGACCTCGGATAATCCTATAATATTCCAGCGCAACTTGTCTATCTCTTCTTCCAGCTCAAGGATCTTCTCGTCAGTCCTCATGGTGCGTGCGTTAAATGTTGCCAGGTCGAGTCGTCGTAGGTCGCAACCGAACCTGCACAGGAGATTCTTAGCACCCCCTGCCCCGCCGTTACCATGGTCGCCACCGTAGACAGGAATAGCGGGGCCGCCGGGGACTGGGGGCCGTCTTTTTGTGTGTTTATTCATGGGGGTATTTGCCATAGTTGCAACGCTTGACGAGCGGGTTGGCAATTTTAACAAGTTGTCATCAGGTAGACGCTGCTGCCCATCTCCTGCCTGTTTCCCTCTGTCGCCTCTTACGACACCCACGGGAAGATATGGGGTAGTGGATATTCTTAACCGCCACTACACGGCGCAAATGTAAATGATTATTAACTCTAAATAATCGATATCGATTTTTTTAAGAATCGAATATTGCACGTTCCGATTTTTTGGTTGGCATGCTTGGTGCAATAAGTCTGACAGCTGTCAAAATGTATTTCTTAGATTTGGTTGACTATAAATAATAATTGATTCATATTGAACTTTATTTCTATAATGTGTTTGATTTCAAGAAAAGACTCTTGTAATGTTACTATAGTTTTTTCTTATAGTAATCTAATTAAATTAATAAAAGAATTTGAATTAAAATAAATTAAACTCAAATAATTGGCAGGGATTGAAAAATATTTCTGTGACGTTTAAAACCAGTCATTTTGCATCCGTTCGTTGATGGACTATTTCTGCTCCATAAAACTCAAGAAAGGAAGGACTGTATCCACTAGTGGAATATTTGTAGGCTGTACTCCACTTTTTTAAAATAAAAAATATGAATCAGTCAATAAGGGCTAAGAATTTACTGCTCACCAGATATTGCTAGTTAAAACTGAGGTGAAGTTATTTGTAACACCATGTTAATAAATAATTGGGAAGTTCTGTTTTATTAAAAGTGTATAGAATTCTAGAGCTGGTAAATACACAAAACAATGCCTCAGTTGCTTCCACTTTAATTTTTTGCACAATTTTTAACCCTCTTTTTAATATTTATACTCTTAGGAATATCCTTAGTTTGGTTTATTCATTTCTAATGGAATAAATATAAAATATAAGTAATTACAGAAACAGAAACTTTTTATACAATGTAGATTAAAAATAATACTTACTGAAAGTCACTTTTTTAATTTACCACTGGTTTGGAGAAAAACCTCTGTCCTAGGAAGACCCAGCAATAAACCCGGTGGGACTTAAAAAAAACAGCTTAAAGTTCTGTATGTTACAATTAACAACACAACAGATTAGAAATAGCTTGGTAACGATCACCTTTCCCGGGGGTTATTATCATCCATAAATTCCTTAATATTATAATGAACCCTTTTGATACAAACTTAGTTTAATAAAGTTTTTGAACTTTGTGTAGGTCAAATTTTGTATATTTTCGGGAATTTTGTTCAAAAGCGTATACATCTCCCCAAGTATGAATTACAGACTTGGTGGAGTCGTGTAACTGGTACTACTAGTTTGTGCCTGTTACTAGTATTAACAAAATAAATATCACTTATTTTTGTTAAACTACTTTTATTTTTGTGTACGTGTATTACATTTTCATAAATGTATTGAAAGGTCAAAGTTAATATATTAATTTCTTTAAATTTTTGTCTGAGCGACTCTTTAGGTTTTAAATCATAGATTGCTCTAATAGCCCTCTTCTGTAAAACAAACATAATTTCAGTGTCAGTCGCGTGTCCCTATATCAAAATCTCATACGACATTATGCTATAGAAATAGCTAAAGTAAACTAGACTAGCTGTATCGACACTGGTAAGACTTCTTATTTTTTACAGCATATGCTGCAGAACTAAGTCTGCTTGCTAGTTTTGATATAGCCATTGAAGCTTTGCGTCTAGTGTGATTCCAAGAAAAATGGTGGTATCAACGAGACTCAGCTCCTCCCCATTTAAAATTACATTCATACTAACATGTTTGACATTCGGAGTTGTGAACTTCATACATTTAATTTTAGTGTCATTTGAATGTAAATTATTAACATTAACCAATTTAATAATTTATATATAGGTTTACTTCGTCATAATTTAATGACTATCGTTTTAATTTGAAAATTAATGAAGTGTCATCAGCTAATAATACTTACTATATGATGAAAACATTTATTTGTATCTCCAATCACACACGTAAATTCAGTGATTAAACTAGATATACAATCAAAGTATTATGAAAAAAAAAAACTCTTATATTATGGTTATCTCCGACTATATATGTTAAGTCATTAATGTATACAAGAAACAAAAAGAAGCTGAAAATTGAGCCCTGAGGCACGCCCATTTGTACTATCGACCCGAAAGAACTCATACTATTAATGACAACTTTTTACATTCTGTTACTTAAATATGAAATAATTAATTTAATTTAAGAGCATTACATCTTACACAGTAGATTTGAAGTTTCCTGATTAATGTTTCATGGTAAACACAATTGAAGGCTTTATACAGGTACAGAATATACCCAAAGCATCCTGTGAATTCTTCCAAGCATTGAAGATACAGAAATACTTCTAAAATTTGCGAGGTTCAATTTACTACTAGATTTGAATAAAGTTATTACTTTACTATGCTTCATTAAATCGGGAAACACACCAGATTCGATACTAGTATTAAGAATAATAGATAGTTGAGGTGCGTTGTACTTGTATCCATTATAAACGGAATAACTTTAACAGAAATTCCCCACAGAATCGCGATTTTCTTAATACCATAGTTTTAAAATATTTTACAATATCTTTTGATGATATATTATGAAATGTAAAATTCTTTGTACGCGCATTTACATTTTGTAATTGTAATTTTAATAACAATTTAATTTAAAAAAAATCAAAGATGTCGATCTTTCCGACAATTAAGACGACTAATCCGACGGCAATAGAAGAATTCAGTAACTTAGTGGTTGAGATCGGAATATCTGTAAAATATTTCTCGAAAACATTGCAACATCCTGATCTGATTTAGTTAATTTGTTGTCATAACTTAAGTGGTAGTTTAAATTGCGAGAGTTGACTTTACCGGTTTCACTCACTATATCACTATTTTAATTTTATTAGAAGTCGTCTTCATTTTGTTGCTCAAATATAAAGACTTGGTTATGGTGCACACTTTTTTAAATATTTTTGAATATTTTTTTACATATACCCTAAATTCGACGCTAGGATTATATGACCTTTCATTGTAAATTTCATATAACCTTTGACTACTCTTATGGACTCTTACTGTCGCCCATTCATTGATTGCTTTGCAATTGTTCAAGGAGAATGTTTTAAAAGTAAAATTATTATCAAATTCATTGCAAATAAGCTTAAATAATGTTCCATACAAAAAAAATCTGTATTATTTTGGTATGCAAGGGATGAAAGTTTTTTTTACTATGTTACTTCTTAACTTCTCCAAATTAAAAAATCTTACATTTTCCTATCAAAAAAAAAAAAACTTCCCCACCATGAAATCTGTCAAATATAGATATAGTCGTGGATTAACACCGTGAAAAGCCTCAGCATATGAACGAAGAAATGTTGGTAATAATGTTAAGGAAATGTATTGCAGGGCGCTGCAGGCGCGGCTCGAGATAGTGAGGGTGAAGACGACGATAGTACTCTGCATGAGCGGAGCCAAATGTTGCAACTTAAATTGCGAGAGCTTCAACTTAGGAAACAACACATGGAGAACTTGGTAACTAAATTTTTTTAAGTATTTGTTTGCCAACTATAAAAAAAAACTTCACGTTATTGCATCAACTTCTAGAATTTGGCAAAACCTCTAGGACACAATAGTTGTAGTATTTGAATATCCCCATTTAAACACAAAGATGACTGACTGGAATAAATGTATGTAAATATTTAAATAAATACTGAGTGCGGTTCCGCTCGTTGATGTACTCGCGAGACTTCGGATTAATATTGCGATTCTTCAAGATACTTAACGGAAGGAAGGCCCCTAGCAGCAGTATGTATGTCTTCCTCATCTAGCCCAATGTTCTGACTTATGATTTAGGGATTTAGGTTCTCGCCTTTTTGTGGTTTAAGAACTTTATTCTCATTAAGAATACAAAATTCACTTATCATGAGAACATAAAAATTTATAAGTTATAACAATATATGGAGAAACACAGAAGTTGGGGGTACATTACAAATACATACAGTTACAGCGTCACAGAGAGATACAATCACAGATATATAGTTGCATTACGCTCAACAATTTACAAGAAGCGGCTTGAGATACATATTTAGTAATATTTTATTCTAATTCGAATTAGTAATGAACAGTAAAAAAAAAACTTTATACCTTATTTGCACCTTTTTAAAATATATTTAAAATACTTATTGATTATTATTAATATTTTTAACTTAATAGTAAGACCGTTATTTTATAGATTTTATAATATGATATTTTAGTAATCTTTTGAAGCTTACATTTGACTGCGATCCTTAATGTCTTTAGGCAGTTTATTATATAATTATGCTCCTTCAAACACTAGGTTTCTTTTACCATAACTAGTTCTTGGTGCACGTATTATGAGATCATTTGCATTTCTTAGCTGATTTTTTTGAATTTGTCTCTTTTTAGTGAAACTTAAATAAGTGTGGATATCTTTATTTATTATTTACGAATCAGAATGCATGTATGATAAACGTACGATTGATTTATATTTAACAGCTTAGTATCATTATATATTTTGTGAGTTGGTGTCAGATAGTTATAGTTGAATAGAACCTTTATAACTTTATTTTGAGCTCTTTGTATTAGGTTCAAGTTATTCTTTGCAGCTGAGCATCCCCATATTTCTATCAGATAATCGATATATGGTTTGACTAGAGAATTGTAAATAAGATAATGTATTTTACGCGGGAAACAACGAGCTATACTTCGAAGGGTACCCGTTATCGATGATAGTTTGCATTTAATTTTATCTATCTGAGGTTTCCATGTAAGTTTATCATCTAAAAATAAGCCAAGGTATTTTTCGCAATTTGATCGTTTGATAATTTGATTATTTATTTTTAGAGGTTCAAAGTCTAATATTTTCTTATTTTTTGCTTTGAATATGATATAATTAGTTTTGGAGATGTTTATTGTTAGAAGATTGTACTGGAACCATTTATGTATTAAGTTAAGGTCATTTTGCGCGTCAGAGATAATAGTATTTATTGAGTGGCCGAAATAGAATAGGCTTGTGTCGTCAGCATACAATGTTATGTCTCCTTTTAGGCCAATATCTTTTAAGTTATTTATATAAATTAAGAATAATAACGGCCCTAGTATGGATCCTTGTGGCACGCCGTATGTCACAGTTTTAGATTTACTTTGAAAATTGTCTATTCTGACTACTTGTTTGCGATTTGTTAAGTAAGATTTTAACATATTATAGGCTACACCTGTGATACCAATGTGTTTTAACTTTTTAAGTAGTAAATCATGACTAACGGTATCAAAAGCCTTTTTTAGATCTATAAATATGCCTAATGCAATATGTTTTTGATCAATATTAAGTTTTATTTTTGTAGTAAGGTCTATGGTTGCTGATAGTGTTTGATTTTCGCCTAAAGCCATACTGTTTGTCATATAATAAATTGTTTGATTCTAAAAATGTTTGTAGACGGTTGTATAAGATTTTCTCAAATACCTTTGAGATCACAGGAAGAACTGATATAGGTCGATAGTTACTAGGGTTGGATCTATTTCCAGATTTAAAGATTGGAGTGACTTTGGCCATTTTCAGACTACATGGGAAGATACCTGATTGCAAACATTTATTTATACATTTTGTAAGTGCTGGGGCAATTAGGTTTTTAACACACTGGACAGATTTAGTATTGATTCCATCTATACCTGACGCTGTGTTAAGACTTATGGTGTTGATGATTTTGAGGACTTCCTCTGTAGTGGTAGGGTTCAGTTGTGACAACATCTGGTCTTCCGATAGCACCGTGTGTTTATTAGCAGTGAAGATATTATCGTGATGAAAGGAAGACGGTATTTTACTTGCCAAGGATTCACCGATGGTTGAAAAGTACTGGTTAAAATGTTCACATATTTCTAAAGGATCTGTCAGCACGGTGGTTTCTGTCTGGAGTTTAGCTGGAGACGTAGTTTCCTTTATTTTGTTGTACGAAAGTTTATTTATTAAGGTCCATATTTTTGCTGATTTGTTTTCGCAATTCATAAATAATTTGTATTAGTACTGATTTTTTTGTTTTTTTTTTTTATATTGCGTACTAAATTTTGTTTTTCTTTTAAAAATTCCTCTTCCATTTCTTTGTTTCTCTAAACTTGTGGCTGAAAAGAATCAAATGGTGACTAAGCGTTTACATTCAATTGTTCCTGAAAATTCTGTAGATTTCATGAAACAGGATTCATTTGGCACTCACCAATTTGGTTAAAGAGTTTTAGGTTTAATATAACCAATACTTATACGAAGATGTGAAAATATTCTATTGGGTTGCCACATGCGCCAACGATGCTTCAATTTCAAATATCATAGTGTGCAGGGAGCTGCCTCAATTTTTACCTGCTTGAAGAAAAGTATAGTAGACTTCGTACATTCAGTTCACAAGGACAGACCATGTTTACGATTTTATTTGCGAAGATAATATACCAGGAAACTTAACATCATTTCAATTAGAACATTAGGTACATCGCCTACGACGCTCCTTTTTCACTTAAAAGGCCAATTTGTCTACTTGCAATTATTTACAGGTTTCAGAGTTCAGAAAACTGCAGATCGCGACTGGTCTGGCAAGCTCGCACAACACATATTCGAGTTCTGGGGAAGATAGTGCAGAAGACGAACCACCTGGAAAATGTATGATGATTTTTTTTTGTTTTTTATATATTTTCAGTACAAATATTATAATTATTCATGTTACAAAATATATATTTTCTAGGTAACAAACCAGAAAGAAACTTGAAAAATGAAGACCCTTTTAAACTAATGGAAATAAAAGCTATCAAAACTGCTTTACAAAAGACTAAAGGTATGGTTTAAACAGTAAAAAGTTGATTAATTTAAAAAATATAAATATAAATTATAAATGTTATTTTATACGTCCAAATCTTTTAGATTTGATGAGATCAGTAGAAACTTTTGAAGCTGACCATTTATCTAATTCACATGAAGACTCCTTCCCTATGTCAAGCCATTCAAACATACATGATAAGTAAGTACTTTTTGTAAGTGATATTATATTTAACTTATACTTACGATGAAATAACAAACGTATACTATTATTTTTCTAAATCGCAATTTATCCAAATCACAATTTTTTTATGGAATAAGGGTGATAAACAAGCACACAGTTCACCTGATGGTAAGTGGATGCTGTGACTCATAGACTAGGTATCTATGAGTCACAGCATCCACAATTATCCTCTCCATTTATCCTCAATTAAGAATTAAAATGCAGATGCGTTGTTAGCCGTGAGGACTGAGATGGAATGCCTCGTTTCCAGTAAAATGGGTCTCTAGTTCTCTACACTCACCTTACGAAACACAACAGCTTTAAGCTGCTATGTTACGCTGGTATACTGTGAGAGCGTGGTCTTACCCTGGTCGAAAAACCTTATTCTGACACTTAAAAAATCATCAATATTGTTTAAAATAAGTAAGTAACCTAAATTAAATTATATTTGACACGTACAATTTTTTAAATTTAAAAGATTTAATTATTTGTCATTATGTTTATCTAAAGGTTGACTAACAAGCACTCAGTCCATCTGTTGATAAGTTTTACCTCCAAAATTTCAGTCTTCTAATAAGTATCAAAATACAGATGCATTGTTATCCTTGGGGTTAAGATATAATGTCTCATTACAGGGTTCTGTGGTACTTGTCATTTACCACACCATACCATTGCCAGCATTATGCTGCTATTTCATGTAATTTCACACAAAAGACGTATAATAATCAAAATTGCCCAGTAACCTTAATGGATTAAATCATAATGAATTTTTCTTATAGCAAATCGGAAGGTGGGGGCAGTGTGGGTGGCTGGTCGAACGAAGGTAGCGTGTGTCGGGTTCGCAACTCACTTCCCCAACGGCATAAGTTTACCAACGAACAGCATCACCAACAACAGCAACACCAACATCAACAACAACAACATCAACAACAGCCCAACAACAACAACAGCAACAACAACAACAACAGCACCAACAACAACAACACCACCACCAACAACAACAAAATTACCAACAACAAAATAACCAACTGCATCAAAATCAACAGCAGCAACAACCTACCCAATTGCAACAACCACAACATCATCGCCAGCAGCAGCAGCAATTTCACCAATTTCAGCAACAGCAGCACCAACAACAGCAACATCATCCACAACAGCAACATCATCAACAGCAACATGAACAACAACAATCAAGTAAGAGAATAATGTATTACATAATCATTTTCATCACCATCATTGCAAGCCAAGTGCATTTATGAACATGGCTGTCCCCCATAATGCATATATCCCCCATGACCGATGCAGGTGGCTCAGAACAATGTTTATTGGCATGGCTCTGAGCGACATACATCCATCGACTTCCTGCATCTCTTAGTCGTTATCTAGTGCATTATCATATTGCATGATTTAGATAGAAGAGATAGATAGAAGATTTAGATCTCCACTAACAATTAAAAAGATTAATACGGTATTTGCAGATACTATTAAGATAGTTAAACAGGTTTTCTTAATTTACCTTTTAGCTTCAAAACTTAAAATATCTGAAATCAGTGACAAATTTAGGAAACAAAAAATACAACCAATTTGAAAAGACACAAAGGTAAATAGTTAAAAAATATTTTGACTTAGGTAAGAAATTAAAAATTCAAAGCATGGGAAATTTTTAAGAAAATGCTGTTTAAGTTATGTTTATTAATTTAATATAATAATGTTATAGCTTCATATGTTAGAAGAACATCTTTTTAACACCTACCCTAATTAAGAACAAAATAGCTTTATTATTTTTCTATAAATATTTGAAAAGTATTTTAAAACTGCATTTGGCTGAATTCAAATTAGACTTTCCACGCCACTCTGCGCTCAGTCTGACGTTTGCCATGTATGAGAATAGTACACGATTATAGTCTGAAGCCTTAGCAGTTTAGTAAGTAAAATATTTTGTTATTATTTTTGTTGGACAATAGATATTTTAAACTCGAAACAGAGTCAAACCGTCTAAGTTCTTTCGCAATTATATTATTAGTAAGTATATAGATATAGTTCTTTAAATAATACTTCAAGCACCCTCAGACCAACCAAGAAAGAAAAATGGAGCGCTGCGTACATTTCAAGCAATGGAAAAACCAAACCAAAACCATGCTCACCTTATTGTAAAAATACACACTCACATACTTGTTCATTTGAAAACATTAACATGGTTTTAGGGGCATATGGAACGGGCTTATAAAGAAAGATGTGTGCGTGAGAGTGCGTGTCAAGAAGATGAGCATGGTTTCGACTTCATTTGAAATGTATGCGATCCTACATCTTTTTTCCTTTATTGGTCTGAGTAAGTGTCGTTGTTTAGTTAGACGTTTGCGCCTCGAATACATAAATTCGAGCACGTGAAAAAATGTAAGTCCGTTCATAAATCAATTGAAATCTTTTTATGCACTACAAAAACGAAAATTTTCTACAAAAATTGTCAGCATTCAACAACATAGTGTTTTGGTAGTCCAATAAACACTTTATTTTTAGAGCTAATGATGACGTTTGAGCCAATAAACAAGGTTTGGCCTTTAAAATTCATACTTGGAAGACGGATTGATAATCACAGTATGTCAATGAATAAACACAGAGGTCTTGCACTTTTGACGCTACTGCCCAACGTCGCTCTAGACATTTCAAGTCTGGTGCAAACAAGACCTTTGTACCACCACCCATGAGAAATGCTAGAAAAATCTTGACTTGAAAGTGGAGATTTTTCTGGCATTTCCCATAGTCGTCTCTTGCGACACCCGACGGGATGAGATGGAGCGATAGGTTTTCTTAAACCTTACATACTCTCTTTTTTTAGCATTGGGTGACAAACGAGCACACAGTCCACCTGATGGTAAGTGAATGCTGTGGCTCATAGACATCCACATTTATCTTCAACTAAGGATCAAAATGCAAATGCGATGTCACCCCTGAGGACTAATATGGAATGCCTACATTCCAGTAAAAAGGGTCACGGTTCTCTACCCTCACCATACGACACAGAGCAGTTTTATGCTACTATTTCACGCTGGTATTCTATGAGAGCGTGGTTCTGTCCCGGTCGAGCCGACCCATTAGTGCCACTATAGTTTTACGATATAAAATCTTTACCATAATATCTTCTTCTCCTTATATATAAAAATCAATTGCTGTTTGTTAGTCTCACTGATACTCAAAATCAGCTCAACCGATTTTGATGAAATTTTTTGTGCGTTTAAATGGGTCTCTAGAAGATTTAGATTCATATTTGTACCCGGTAGGTGGCGCTGTTGTAGAGACCCTCAAATGCGCTAATATAATATAATATATTTTATAAATAATGTGGCAAGGTCTATGTCAAGCAGTGGAGTTTTAGAGAGCTAATGATAACGTTAATTTATTTGTAATTGTATATTTGACATATTGCATTTTTTTTATCGTTAGGTCCCGAAACTAACATTGCGAGTTTGCAAGAACTAGCACAAGAATTGCGTATGGCAACTGAAGAGATAATGGGCGAACGCGCTCGTATTGAAGATATGCTATCGAATAAAGGTAAGCATTATTACTCTTAAATGTATACAGATTACTGTAAAATACAAATAAAAAGGACTTTACGTTGTAGCGACATAAGAAGTTCCATCATCCCATATGGCCTCATGTGATCCAGTGTTCTAAATGTTGACGAAGAAACATACTAGAATAGGGACTCGCCAACAGTTGACCGAAAAATATCCCAAAAGTTAAATCAATTAAAAGGGAAAAATAACCAAAGATGAAAGTTTAATATTACTACCGTTCTAATGCTCCTACAATTAGAGCTGAAGGCGCCCTACAGTTGTTAAATTCGACCTGTGTGAAACATTGATTTGGTTCTTGACGAAAATTTCTACTAATCATCATAGTTGTACCGACCGATCTGACACCATACGCACCATCTCAAAGCCTTATGAATACGGCTGCGGATACCTCCAATGTCCGCCGTCAATTAAGGAGGGTGGGGGAGGGCCTGATATGCTCTCCCCCAAACCCTTAGTTTGGGTTGAGTTGCGTAGTCCTCTAGGATAGATGCGCCGTGCTCTCATCGCTACTGTAGTGGTGGCACTCAGTAATCGGCTCTCTTTAGACTATTCAATCTATCAACCAAGAATCAAATTCTAAATTCTTTAAAGCCAGAAGGTCAATTACCCGTGCTACCCAGTATGACAAGACCGGATGAAGAGCCTCGATAATTTTAATTCCTACCGTCGGGTGGGTCAGTCTCTCTTTCCTGTACTTTGAAAGCTGTTGTGCTGTGTGACGTAATATCATTCGAAGATTAGTTATTGTATACTAGGCATGTATTTATACAAGCTTTTATTCAACTTGCTTTCTTCATCTGTATGTTCGGTTCAAAATTTGCTTTAGCTAATTTCCGATTAAGCTAAAATTTCACATACTTATGTAACTTCGATGACAATATAACTATATGGTACCATAGAGCTATCTACTGATAGACACGGTTGCTAGCAATGGAAAAACCTATAAAAGGTGGTTTTTAAATAGAAGTTGAGAGAAGATACAATTTTATACATTAATTGAGATCACATACAATTCGTTAATGTAACTTTGAGTAGAAATTTTGCAAAAATGATAAAATAAAACTTATCATTAAATAAAAATAATAATAAATTTTAAGTAAAATAGTGTTATTGTGTTGTATTGGTATTGATTAAATAAACTTATTATCAATTGGGGCTAGTATTCTTTTACTTGTTGTAGTATATGTTATGCAACACACAAGTTCCCTAGAAATAAGTTACGACCAAGGATGCTTATTCGGAAAAACGATTCTATATTTTTTAAACACAAAATTTAAACATGCAAATAGTGATCAAATGGAAAGGTAAAAGTTGAAACAACCAATTTCATAAAACCGAGGCTTGCATTGACACACCTCAGAACTAAGATGTCTCATAGCTTGTCATTGATGCTAGCTCTCTTACCCACTCACCGTCAAAAGTCAACGCCAATTCAAGTATAATATTAATGTATTAAATATGTTTTTTACTCTGACATTAAATGTCACCATCATTCAATAAAGTGTATAAACAATTTAGAACGCAAATTTTTAAAAGTTACTTATAAGACAATATCTGTATTGTAATAGTTTCTTTGCACACCAAATAACAGCAATAGTACAGCTGTTATACAGGCTCTTTTATGCTTGCACAGCTACTGTACAGCGCTACTAACGCATAAATCTGTGTAATTTGTGCCAATTATTTACTTATATGAAGTGTATAAGTGCTGTTAACTGTTTTTACTGTATAACTTTGCTGTTACTGTATAAGTTTATAATTAGAACATAACCGTTTCGGCACTGCTCCTTAACGGCAGAGATAGGTGAGAGAGCCATACCAACCAAGATATACTGGTGGTAGAAAGCAGCCCTGCCACCTAGTGAATAATATAAATCATTGCAGAAGTGAGCCGAAAGCAGAAGAAGGTTAATGAAGAAGTACGCGCTGGTCCTAGTGGTGGGCCGGGCCCGGCTGAGCGTCGCCAAATGCAGCTACGCGCACTTCTTGCGGAAAAGCAACGCGAACTGGAAGCACTACTCAACAAAGAGGTAAGGCAAGTTCCCAGTGCAGTACACTGCACATGTGATGTCACATACCAGGTCCGGTGAGTGCAAACGGATACCAATGTCTAAAATTTAGAAATATTGTGAATTACATCAAATGAACTACAATTTGGGACTATTCAATGCAAGAATGAATACGCATTTTTAGGCTAACATGCTTACTACCTCAAACATCGGCCTATTTATAGATGATTAAGTCTAATAAATAATATAAAGATCAAAAAATAACAGCAAACATTATTTCCGAGATGTTTTCATTACAGCGAATTGATATTACAAAATTATGTCACACAGTGTATTCACTGCCTCGATCATGAGGGTTCGAATCCCGGGTCGGGCCAAAACCAGTTTTTGGGGTTTTCTGTGTAGAAATTCTCAGTAGCAGCCCGGAGTCAGGAAGTTGGCGGTGTTTCACCCCCGTGCTTTGAAAAGCACATAAAGCCGTTGCTTCTGCTCGTCTGATTTCTGTCCTATCGAGTCGGATAACCGTCCCATCAGAATATTAGAGTGAGGGAATAAAGCGTGCACTTGTGCTTGCCAATACACTCGGGTAATATAATCCTATACTGCGTAGATGGCTAGGTGTCTGTTGAGACCGAAACTCTGTCTGGAGTAACGTTGCGCGATTGCTTAAAATGTTTGGTTTTGTAAAATATTATTTCGCTTTGTTGACAATCCACTAATAATTAGTACTTACACACTACACATTTTATGTACCTAAGCTCAAATATCGCGAAAGTTCGTATTCCCTCGACGCCGGTATTTGGCGTCGATCAACCCCTTCTGATAGGAACGGTTCAGTTCTAGGACGCACAGTAAAAATAACATCCTATAACCTGTTTTCTCCAATGCGCTGGAGAACACCTACAATTGTTCGAGGGTTCGTAGACAAACTTTGGTTGCCCAATACCTTTAACGGTAAATTGAAATAATAGTAGCTAGTGCTGCATTTTGATGTACATACCATAGAATAAAACCATCGCAGCGTAATTCGCCGGCAAAGAGTTGTGTTTGTAATTTTAACATGGTAAGTCCGAAAGTCCTAATATACAAAAGAAAGTCACACAAATAAAAAAAAATGCGTCTTTTCCGCTGTAAGTCTAGTACTTTAACAAAATTCAATTATAAATTGAACTAATACTAACATAAAACTATTAAAAAATATCATTCTTTTCACGAAAACTTATCATTCATAGCTTAATTCAGTAGATTTCTAATTATGCCGTTTATGCCTAATTATAATAAAAATTAAATGTTGATATCGTCACACATTCACGCACCGGCAAAATACTGACTGAAAGGGATATAGTAGGGATTCATCTTCTGTTGATTCATAAGAAGAATAAACTACATGATTTAATATTATCCTGTATGTCCAGAAGATGATCTGTGGTGGAGCTGAAACTCAGAAAAATCCCGATTCGCGTGCCATGTCCGTCGCTAACCAGTCTTACAACAGGTATATAATATTTATATATGTATGTTTAACGATGACCGTATAGTGGTGATGAAAGAATATCCACTACCCCATATCGTCCCGACGGTGTCGTGAGAGGCGACGGAGGGAAAATTAAACAGGAGATGGGCAGCAGCATCTTACTGGTAACAACTTAAATAATAAAAATCTGCGAGTTTTTTTTATAGAACACAGTCCGCCCGTTGGTAAGTGGATGCTGTGGCCCAAAGACATCTAAATTTAAACTGGAAAGAATGAAAATGCATATGTGCTGTCGCCCCTGAGGACTAAGATGGAATGCCTCGATTCCAGCAAAAGGGGTCTCCGGTTCTCCACACTTACCATACGAAACACAGCAGCGTTAAGCTGCTATTTTACGCTGGTATTTTGTGAGAGCGTGGTCCTTCCCCGGTCGAGTCGACCCATTCATGCTAGAACCGTGATATAGTTGCATCAAGTCAGACCACGTGTAAATGATCCCCCCATGAGCTAACTATGAGGGAGGCCTATGTTCAGCAGTGGATTTTTATATGCTGAAATGGATGGATGGATGAAACGAAACCGTCTAGTGGCGGTGTAAGAAAAATCACTACTTCAAATCATCCTGTGGGAGTCGTAAGAGGCGACAAAGTTAAACAAACTGGAAGACTAGTAGCAGCGTCTTTTAAAAAAAACTGTGGTTGCCATGCTTTGAAACTATGGCAAATATTTCCCCTATGAGGGAGGCCAATGTTCAACAGTGGACTTTTAACAGGCTGTAAAGGTAAATAAAACGAAACCCTATATTTTTTGTCATCTTTATAATATAATTTTGATGAGTCTCTTAGTGATCATGTAACATCTAAACGATTTGATCGATTGAGGTCGTATCCATACAATATATTGGTTTTGGTCGAGTTCATAAGTATGGTCCGATAAGTAGCGCTGTAGTCAAAGTTATAACGAATTCTACATTTACGAACCCAAATGGCTTATATCCATAGACAATATACGTTGGCTTAGTGCCAAAAAAAGAAAATCACTAAATACGCAATAGATGGCGCTGTTTCGAAGTGAGAACTCGCGCCACCTATGATGGGAAGAAGCAGAACAACATCTGCAGGGTCAGCTGTAATTGTCTCATTTACATCAGACTTAAAAAAGACCGACTTACTGAGAGTAGTATCAAAGGTGCGAGAAGTCTGTTACTGTGATGGCCCATCCGCCTGCCAAGCGTGAAGTTTCAGTCAAATCTTTCTTTCAACGCGAGAGGGCCATCTCTAGCAGTAGCTTTTTACATGCCGATGAAAAGGAAGAAAATGCAGGTTATTTTTATAACATAACATAGTTCTACACCTATTCGCTGTGTAATGGCGGCGTAAGAATATCTACAACCCCATATCATCCTTTTTGTGTCTTAAAAGGCGGGAGAGGGAAACTAAACTGGAAATGAGCGACAGCATCTGTTATTTTTTATGGAATAAGGGTGACAAACGGGCACACAGTCCACCTGATGGTAAGTGGATGCTGTGGCACATAGACATCTACCTCTGAGGACTGATGTGGAATGCCTCATTTCCAGTAAAAAGATCTCTACACTCACCATACGAAACAGTAGGATTAAGCTGCTATATTACGCTGGTATTCTACGAAAACGTGGTCCTAGAATACTATAATACATACATAATAGAACGGGGGTGTGGGCAGAGCCCGTGTAGCCACTAAAATGTAACTAACACGTCAATTCACACGTATGTGTGAACTGACGTGTTAGTTACAGTCAGTCAGCGCGAGATGTGTTTTCACGTTACAATCGTTTGCAAATTTCGCATGAAAATTATTTAAAAAATGTCAAATTGCACGCTATTTGCAAATAAATATGTATTAAAATCCGTCTGTCAACACAGCGAATCGGGTTTGTAGTAGTGATGAACTGATAATACGATGTAATTGCTTGTACTCGTATGTGTGCCCCCGGCGACGCCTATCCTCGTACCAAAATAAGGTTGACAGCCGTTCTATTGTGTATTTATATTGTGTATTTATAGTATTCTATGGACCCAATCATGCTACAACCATAATATAAATTCATCTTCCTGATAAAAGCCGAAAATAATAAAAAACTGCGGTTGCCAATCTGCCTGCCAAGCGTGAAAACTATGGCAGAATTCTCCGTCTGAGGCAATATATGTGGAAGGTTTATAGCTTTATAGTCGGCTGTGAACATATCATAAGCTGTAATGAATATATGAATGAACATTGTTCCAAACTTTCTTATATGAAAAAAATTCCCTTCACAGTGAACATGAGGAACAAGAATTAAGGTCTGAACAACTACCACTAGATTCTAATAACTCAAGGGAAAACGAACACTTTCGGGTATGTTATTTTACATTTTAAAGGAAGCTTTTAACGCCGTCGTAGACTTATATTGATTTTATTTTAAATAATTGTATATAAATATCGATTTTTAAAGAGATAATGACGATAATATAAATACATTTCTTTATATAGAATAAGGGTGACAAACGAGCACACAGTCCACCTGATGGTAAGTGGATGCTGTGACCTATAGACATCTACATTTATATTCGATTAAGAATCAAAACGCAGATGCGTTGTCACCTCAGAGGACTAAGATGGAATGCCTCGTTTCCAGAAAAAAGGGTCTCCGGATCTCTACACTCACCATACGAAACACAGCAGTATTAAGCTGCTATTTTACGCTGGTATTCTGTGAGAGTGTGGTCTTTCTTCGGTCGAGCCGACCCATTCGTGATACAACCATAATATAGCTGCAACGTGGCTCTACCACGTATAAAACGCGGTTTTTCTAGTATTTGTAATGACTTAGTTTTTA